GAAATGTCATGGAGAAAATACAGTAGCACTCTTTGATGCTTACAGGCTCCTTCTATCCGATTCTTTCATGGGACAGACTGGGTTCCTAATAATTATGAAAATGATTTTCCATAATAGTTTTTGACTGGAAATCCAACTTCTAAAAGGTGAATTTTCAGACCTTCCTGTTCCCTTGAAATAAATTCTTATATGGAGGACCTGCTCTGCTCTTGCCTTCTGGCTTTAGAAGTGATCCTTATAATCACTTTCTAATGGTATGATGTCTTCAGTAATGCCAGGACAAGTGGAGACCAGATGCAGGGGAGTTATTTAAGCAGTGCAGAGGTTTGGGCTTGGGGAATGGCTCAGAGGAAGAGCGTATGCTTGGCAGTATTGAGGCCTTGTGTTCAACGCCTTGTGGCACAAAAAATAAAATGAGTCTACTGACTGCTTCTGTGTCTTTGTTTGTGTGTTTGTGTTTGTGTGTGTGTGTGTAATACAGGAGTAGGACTAAGAAGTTCCTGGACTACTTATGAGCCCACACGTCTATGTGTCCACTTACTTAATGAGTATTCATTGAGCACCCAGTACATATCATCCACTGTACAACTTGCTTGAGATACATTACTTAATGAAAAATTTGAGGCTCCTCTCCTGAAAGCACCCACTAAATAAAGGATGAGATAAAAATACAGTTTCAGGATCTGGGTGGAGTAAATCTTTTTTTTTTGAGTAAATCTTAAGCACTACAAAAATATATACTTAGGTTATTATTATCTCCCTAAAGAGACATAAAACATTCTCCTTTAAAGTTATGAAGGATGTTATGTTGCACTCTGTACTGAAGAAAGGCTTCTTTGAGAAGGGGATGTTTTAATACAGGTTAGAAAGTAGTCATGCGAGGTGCTAGATATAGAGAACCCTGTGGGAAGTACGTGAGCAAAGACACTGAAGTAGAGCCAGGCACAGTGGCCCATGTCAGTAATGCTAGCATTTGGAAGGCTGAGCTAAAGGAGTCTGGGTTAGGGCAGGCTTGCTCAGTGAACTTAGGAAAACAGAACCCATTTCCTCAGGTATCTGCCTCCTCCTCTGGCCTCTCTTACCCACTCATCCCTCCACTCTTCTTCTTTGCCCAAAGCACTGACAATGCAATTGCTTACAAAATCAAGGTATTTTGTCTTGAGACAACACTGACCATCAGAGTACCTCCTTGATGTATTAAGTCAGAGAAATATGTGCTAGCTACTATGTTGTAGAAGTAAAAACCCTCAAATTCTTTTCCTGACATTGTGGCCTTAGGTAACCCCACCTCATTTCTTGGCTTTAGTTTCCTCTAGGTAAGAATAGAACAATTGGATTGGATTCACGGATTAATCTGTTTTTGCTGACATAGCAATATATCACAGACCATGCGGCTTAAAATAAAAATTTAGTTTCCTATGGCTGAGAGGCTTGAAGTCCAAGGTCAAGGTGCCAGCAGGGTTTGGTTTAATCTGTGGTTTTCTTCCTTGGTTTGTGGAAGGCTGTTCACTTTTGCTTCTATAAAAGGTGTGGCCTCAGTGCCCATGGTGTCTGTTTCTATAACCACATTCCTTTCTTTTGATGATACAAAACTTGTTCGATGAGGGCTCACTGTAATGGCTTTATTTTAGTCCAATCACCTGTTTAATGACCATATATACTAATACAGTCACATTCTGAGGTCTTGGCAATAGTTTCAACATATGAATTGTAATGGTACGCAATTCAACTCATAATGGTGTATATGAACCTTTTGACTAGGAGCTAAGGACCCTTTGTCTTACTTTGGGTTTCTCAGGATACAGACCTGAGGCAATTATTCCAGTGTAAGAGTTAGTTTGGAAGATGCAAAAAACAGTGGTGGAAATGAGAAAGAGAGGTGGTGAAGGTAAAAGAGCCAATAAAAAATTTACTTTGCAGCTAACCACCACTGTAGTGACTAGAGTTTAAAACCAGGAGAAAATTGTTGGTCTTGAATATCGGATTCAAAGGTAGTCCCTCACAGAGCTGAGGGACTACCTCCTGCTTATCATGCCATGAAGTGTTTCTCCTTTGCTATTCCCCTCTGCCACCCTACCCTACACTGGAGCCAGTTAACAATAGACTGAAACCTGCAGACAGTGAATTAAAATAAATCTTTCCTACTTTAACTTGTGGGTTTCAGGTATTTTGTCCCAGCAATGAGAAAAATAACTAGACAACTTCTAATTTGATTTCAGTGAAAGTGGTAGGTAACTATGTATATACTTGCTCTGGGGAAAGAATAGAGACCAAATGGATTATATCCAAATGTTAGTCATTACAAATTATTTGCAATCTTCCTGTATTTGTCAGAGTCCTCTTCCTAAATCTGTAAATTGACTTAAACAGAAATTTATTCCTTGCTGACATAAAATCCAAAGCCCGATTGCAGACTAGAAAATAGCTGTTATCTGTGAACATGCCAGGGACTTCTAATGTTCAAGATTCCTGGTCCCCTAGGCAATTATGGCTAACTTTTTAGAAATGAGTGCTCAGACTGCAACTCCAAACCTACTTATTTATTGCAAAGTGTCAACATTGCAATTAAACCTGAATACTGAGGTTTTAATTTAGAAAAAAGAACTCATAGATTAACTTCTTTTGTCTTAAAAGAAAAACAAATAACACTCATGCCATAGGGTTGCCACCACTGCCCTTGGGCATTCCAGCTTTTCCAGCTTATTGCAGGGCAAAGAGCAAATGTGAAGGTTTGATTATGTCCGTACTGTGCTAGCCTGGAGACGATCTTGCCTGATGTCACTGTTACTATGTTAGTAGTTGCTCATTTCATGATTCCAGGTAAATACAAGTCAGATAGGGCCATGTGATTCCTGGTAGGCCAATGCTTTTCCAGGAAGAGGTCTACACTGACAGTGGAAGAGTATAAAGTTCAAGTGGTTAGTAATCATCTCTGCCACTCATTCATTTTCTCTCCCAAGAACTTGGGGTTTTTGTTTCCACAAACGATCCTCCTTTGAATAGCATCAAAGAGCAGCCAGTGGCCATCTGTGGACCTAGGTGACTCTTCTTAAAAGAGGGGCAGTTGCCTCCATTTTGGCTGAGCCTGACCCTATTTCCATGTACTGATATGTTTAGAGCTGGCTAGGACTTTTCCTTACCCCTTCAACTGGCTTTAAGCAATGCATATGGGTCTAGCCGAGATGCTGATGGTAATCTTTGGAGATGGTAGACATGTTCCCCAGACCCCTGTTGTTCCCATGAGTGAGCCAGGATGAGGTGGGATGTGTGAGCCAGTGCTCCATTCTGTTGGTGGGGATTGAGCCTTGGGAATAGAGGCTATGACTGGGGCTTCAAAGATTACACATCAGAGCTGAAGCACTCACCCCAAAACATTAGACGCTATCTCAATTGTGTTATACAGATTACTCTTTCTGCATATCCTTCTTTCTGCATTTACAGAGGTGATTTCAGGCCTCCTACCCAGCCCAGCTCATGGCACTCATGTATTTCCCACCACTCTCACAGTCACTCATCCTCAAGCCGCTCCCTTTTTTACAAGTGAATATAATCGGGGTTCGGTCCTGGCTATACACCTTTGTTCCTGATGGCCATCCTCATGGCTGGACTTAGGATCCCCTTGGCTCCCCATAACTACAAATATGCCTTAGTGTCTTTATTCTTGCCATGGGCTGCACTGGAAGTGGTAGATTGGAATTAACTCGCTAGAATTCCAATAACTTTTCATGGGATTACAAATATAAACTTCCTGGGCAGTGATGAGGACTGGGAAGGGCTCCCTATACCCAACCTCTCTGGCACACTCAAGGATAAAGGAGAAATCAGTGGGATGTTCAGGTACATTAAATGGGTACAGATGTAAGAGGTCCACAAAGATGGGTCCTATACAGATTTCCCTGAGGTTAATCAACTGTACCCAGAAAGTTGGCTTGTCAAAATATTTGACAACAGAGCAGAGTGGTTAAAAATGCAGTCAGAATAATCACACAGGTCTAGCCTAATGCTCAGTTCTTCTTCTTTCATACCTAGTCAGCTGTACCAGAGTGCATTTATATAAATCTCTTCTGTTGGGCACTAAATGATTGTGTGAAAATGACCTAGAGTGGCTTTCTTGTGTCCCCAGCACTTTGTAAACAAAACTTCATAGGTATACTCAGAGTACATTGTATGTACCATAATGGTGATCTTTACATGCATTGCGCAGTGCCCCCCAACCTCATTTGTCTTGTGGGTTACATAGAAAGCTTCTTGAGAAAGGAATATGTCTTGAATTCACTTTTATTTCCATAGCAGCTATGCAAGGGCCAGTAATTTTGGTAAATATTTGGAGAATAAATGGGTAAATACTTGCATAGGTGATTAGAACTAGGGCTTTTATGGAGATGATGTTGTTTTATTCTAAGAGAATCTGTCCAAAATGTAGTGTGTTCTCTGGGCCTAGAGCTATGCTGCAATAGGCCAGTCAATATGGCAGGAATATTGTAAAGCTGAGTATGGCCCCAGAAAGGGACTGGATGAAATACAAGATTGTTTCTGAACTTGAGAACTTAGTTAGACCTCTAGGAGATAGAAGTCCAGTGAAACCAAGAGATGTGTCCTCAAAACCTGGCTGGCAGCTTTGGTGCTGAGAGACTCTAAAATTTACTAGCTATTTCCATTGATCCCAGACCAAATCTTTGGGCAGTCTCTGATATCTGCTTGCTGGGCTTCCTTTGGGAAGCATATATTGCCCTGAAGTTGTAGTCACACATGAGAGAAATCTTACACAAGAAACTGTTGTGTTAATTTGGGACTGTGTAGTCTGATATTTGGATAAGAACTGCTCAGATAAAAGAGGGTAAAGTCTGGGTGGGTGTGGTTTGAGGGCTCCAGGGACACATGGGGAGGTTTTTTGGAAGAGGGACAGCTTTTCTGTTGTTTTAAATTATGTAATTGACTTGGTAGGTGAGACTTGGCAGGGATAGAGGGGCAGATCTGTGATCTGGGGCAGGACTATGCATTTTCTCTAAACAGCCCAGAGACCTCACTGGCCCAGGAGCTGCTGTCCTTCCACAATGTGGCTTTCCTCAGTGGTAATGGCTTCTCTTGTTGCTTTCATAGCCTGTGGTGAGTCCTTTTGAAATATAAATGACAATGGGATGAATTAGATGTCTTTGTCCTAGAAAGAGGCTGGCAAGCATGGATTTAGAACAAAGGAACAGGAACAGGTTCTGATGTACTGTGGTATTTTTCTCTGTATTTTGAATTGAACTTAGAATAACAGCCTATGCAGACCAGGCTTTCCCAGGAGCAGGGGAAGATGCATACTCCAGCTGTAGGCACTAGGATTAGGACAGCTAAATTTAGCTAAAGCCAAATTGATGTCTCTCCTATGAAGATTTAAGAGCATTCATTTTATCTTCTCTTTGATTCATAGTCCTGATCTGGGCAGATCGTGGAGTGTGGCCTGGTAGAATAATAACAAAGCATGGATTCAGGAGCCAGAGTGAGGATCTGAATCTCATCCCAGCACTTCCAGGCTGGGTGTTCCTTGTAAAGTACTTGTGTCTGCTTTGTCAGGGTCACCCTATTTCTAGAAGGGGATGACAACAGTACCTACCTTAGAGAGCTCCTGTGAGGATGAAGTAGGTGGCTACTTCTAAAGCACTTAGCATAGAGCTTGTACAATAGGAAGCAGGGGAAAAGGATGAATAAATAAAGGGCTTGACTTAAACTGCAGGGTGTTAATAGGAAATTTAAGGTACAGTCAAGTTCACACATCAAGGCCTAATGGCCCTGAAAATGTAATATGCTATTAAGAGTTCCCAAGGAGGACCCTCGTCATTGTGATAGGGCCACAAGGGGAAGCCGCAGGATCAGTCAGCAAGCAGAGGGAGAGGGTGGACTCTGGACATGTGGCTTCACTGTGATTTCCCCTGAACGGAAGAGAAGAAAGAGAAAAAGCTGGTGTAGGTTGGCTTCTTGGGTTGAGGGGTGTAGGACCTGTTTCTAGTGTTCTGGAGCCTGGCTCTGGGACATTAAGGTATATGGATGGTGTACCAGGATATGAGACCCTGCAAATGAAGGTGTGGACTTTGGTTTACTTAGATCCAGGGGGCAACAGTACCTCCACGGCCATCAAAGCCTCACACCTCAAATCATCAAATACAGAAAATTAATCCATGTTGAAATAGTTGTGCAATGAGTGACCTCAACAAACATCCATAGCATAGGGGACAGATGCACTGAGACTTGGGGGACCTGTAATATCCCACCTAGAAAAACAAGAACAGTCTAATTTTACCTCCTGAATCCAGAGCCCATACTCGGATTTTTCCATGTTTACAACGTTCACACTGGGTGTTTCCAAAGCCTGTTTGCTCATCTGTTAGGTGGGCATAGTAACACTAACACAGAACAGCTTCCCTGAGGAGCTGGATGTGTATGGCACACACAGTAAGTGCTCCATATGGACACATTCCATATGACAAAGCAGTGGTAACTGCTATACAGTATTTTTATTTATAGATCTCACTCTTCTACACCATATTTTTATGTTGGGCAATCTGGCTTCTCTCCACTCATTCTAGGTTGAAAGTCATCACTGAGCTGACTTGAAAACAAGCCATTTTTGTCCACACATTACCCTCCCTCACCTCTTTGAAGTCCACACATTACTCTCCCTCAGCACTCCTGCCAACTGCTCCTTTCCCGGGGCTGCCCTGATGCTCTGCCGTTCTTTGGCCACCACTCTAGTGGGTGCTTTCAGCCTCATTTGCATCTGTACCTGTGCTTTATTCTCAGCTTGTTCTGTTCTCTCACATGGGTCTGTTGTGTACCCTCCCCTTCAGGAAGATGACTGTACTTGCCCCTTACCACTTCTTCTCAGTCCTGTGGTGCCCGCATCCCATGGAATTTTCTTACCAGCAGTCTCACTGACTCCCCCTGTCTGACATGGAGCCTATATCACATATCTGTTTTGCAGTCTTTCCCTTTCACTTTCACAGTTTCCATACCTGGCAAGGAGAATCAAGTCCTCCTTCACAATTCCTCATTTACGTCTCCCTATCGCTTCATTATCTCTAAGGTGGATCTACTTTCAGTGCAGAAATCTTGAAATGTATAAAGAAGGTAACCTCCAGTATTGGAACCCAAAGACATCTCAATCCATATTCTTCCCAGACAGGACATCTCTGGTAATAATTAGCAATAAGGACAGAAGGGAAGAACTATGGAAAATGGTTTTAATAAAATGAGGTATGGGCGTGTGTTTATACCCAGGTTTCCATAAAGAGTTTCTGGTTATTGGCTATTCTTACTATACAGATGTTCCTCAACTTACAATAAACAAATATCTTGATAAACTCATTTTTTAAAAGTTGAAAAGTCACAAATTAAAACACCATAAATTCAGGACTGTCTGTAGATGTCTCCTGAAGTTTTATCTTGTTGTTATTTATAACAATTAGCAATAACAACAGCATAATCATGACAATAAACAACAATAGACTATAACTGTCTACATTATGAAAATGACTACAGACATTCTTCATTTCATGACCAAGTTCTAGTCCAACAACTAGGTCTTTAAATGAGTTGGTTGTTAAATGAGGTGTTATATATAATATTCACAATAAAGAAATGGTCAAAGGCAACTGCAACTTGATGACTACGCTTATTTTGCATAACTCTTACATGCAGTATTATAATGTATAACAGAACATAAAATTATAGTACTGTACAGTCCAATCAGCAAAAATTATAGTACTGTATAAGCAAGAGGTACTGTACAAAAAAGGTATTGAGGCTCTACAAACAAGATGCATGGAACTGAACAAAAAAAATGAGTTGTATATCAGAGCAGCAAGTTATAAACTGAAAAAGCATACCTTGGATGTAAGCCCAAACAACTGTTAAATAGGTAGGTCATTAAATAAGGAATGTCTGCGTTGATAACATGAGACATGTACTGTTTGTAACATGTTTCATGATAGAGTTTTCAATGTCATTGACTATTCCTCTATCAGACCAAATCTAGATTATCCTTTTCTTTCCTGGTCAGTCACTTTAGGGGAGTGTTGATATATTGTTTTATTCTAAAGGGGGCAGTGGGTGGATGAATGAATACAAATCATGTAGTATGTGCAGTGCTTTGATATATTTAAGTTATGAAGGCCAGGAAAGAAAAGATCCATGGGTAGTCATGGTCAGGAGTCTCACAATATACCTTCCTCTTTTAGGAGGATCAGACTAGTTTACTCTGGCCCCAAAGCTTGGTGAACCATGATTGATGAGAAAGCTGCAGAGAGATGAGAAACAGTTATGTGCTCCCCTCAAACAGAGCGAAAGTTTCAGACAGAAAACTGACACCCAGTCTCTCTCTCCTCTGGATAACCATACTGAGAACTGCCAGAATATTCTAGAAGCTCACTGTGTACTTTAGGACAAAACTGTCCCTGCTCCTTATTGGTTAAACAAACAAACTTTGTTTTAAGGCATTTAAGGCCCAACCTGGCAGGCACCTCTTTATTTCAGGATTATCTTCCACTCCCCATAGACTCCATCTGGCCATCTTTAGGAATCATTTGCTCTTTTCCAACCTGGTCCTAGGTTTGCTGTCTTTGTGCCTTTTCATATCCTCTTTCTTCTTTAACTCCCTTCCCACCATTCCTTATTCACCTTTCCTCCTCTGTATTGATGCCAATCAGGCTTCACTGCCTCCTCCAACTTCTTTAACATCTTTCTGTTTCTGGAAAGACAGAAGCTCCTACTTCTTGGCTTTAGATCTAGTACGTGTGTGATTTCTTCTCCCTGAAAGGTCACCTCCCTGCAGAACTTGAGTCACCACTCATCTTGTCATTGAGCAAGAAGCTCAGCACCCAGACACAAATGGACATATGCATACAGAAGCTTGTGATAGGGAAACAAAAGATCTCTTCCATTCCAGGTGAAGCTTCTCCTTTTTGTGTTTGTTTGAGCCTGTGTACATTCATATCTCCCATTTCAATTTATTCATTAAAGTAACCCCCTGAGGGAGGAAGGACATTGTTTCTCATTCATATTTTACCTAAGAAGCTGAAGCCCAGAGGATGGAGGTGACTTATTTGAGGTCCTCTTCCTGGAAAATGGATGTGGGTTTTATCACCTTTGTCCTCTGACGGATCCTCCTTTCCTCTTCTTGTCCAGCAGAACATCTACCTTCACCACCTGTGGTAGATACAGTGAATGGCAAAATCCTGGGGAAGTACGTTAGCCTAGAAGGATTTGCACAGCCTGTAGCCGTCTTCCTGGGAGTCCCCTTTGCCAAGCCCCCTCTTGGATCCCTGAGGTTTGCACCTCCACAACTTGTCGAACCATGGGATGATGTGAAGAACGCCACCTCTTACCCTCCCATGTAAGCCGGTGTGGAGACCTTTGGCATCTCTCTCTGATGATGTTTTTCTCCTCAAAATGAGACAGGAAGGAGTGAAGACAACCTTCTAATTGGTTTATCTTTTTTTTGGGAATTCTCTAGAATACTGTAGACTCTTGAAAATGTTCTGGCAATATAACAACTTTCTAGAGGCCATCATTGAGCACACATTTATTGAGCACTTGATATATTCTAGGCATGATCTAAGTGCTGAGAATCCATAAATAAGCAAAGCAAATATCCTTGTCTTCCTTGATCTTGCATCCTACTGGGGGAAAGAGATAATGAACAATATGTATATTAATACTTGGATTGGGTACTATGGAGAATATGCTAAAAGTGTTGAAAATAAGCAGTGGGCCACATGAGGAAGAAGACAAGTAATCACTCTGTCTATTCTCCTGTCTGGGGCCTTGGCATGGCTGGGACCGGATGGGTGAGGAGCTATGGAATATAAAGAGTGTTGATTTGTCCAGTTCAGACTCCCCATTGCATCTCAATTCCTAGACACACTGACTCCCTGAGAGGGAAAACCCTGACTTTCCAGATGGTCTCGCAGCTACTCCCAGTGTACCCCAGATACAAACAGTGTCAGTGCAGAAACTATTCTCCTCAGCAGATTACCCCTGCAGGTTACCTCTGCAGATTCCCTGGTTCCTGCTTCTGGCTACTTTCCTTTCTTTTAAAAATAATAGCCATTGTTCTTACTTGCTAACTACAAAAACAATACAAATATATTGCAGAAAACCCGGATAATGTAGAGAAGCAAATGTGAAAGAAATAAAACCAGGCATAAGTCCACCACTAAAGGGTAGTTGCTGTTAGTATTTGAGACTATACTTTCCAGTTTCTTGTACTTTTCCCTCCTTTGAAAACAGGTCATGATTAGAGTTTGGATGACTACTTTATCATTGATCAGTGTGACAGCAATGTCATTCTATGCCATTAAATATCACAGCTGGACATTTAGTAGTCACATTAGTGTAGGTATTGAAATGTTATTTATGAATATTTGCTCCATCTCTTACTTAAGGTCATTAGGTAGCTTTTAAAGTTCTCCCAACTTTGAATAACATTATGTTGAAACATTTTAGCTAAATCAGCATACATATTCAGGAATAATGACATTTCATTTTTGTGTAATTTTTCTCCAGACATATTTCAACTGTGTACATTCCTTTAATTCTTACATAAAAACTTAGGTTCAGAGGACTTGCTGATGTTTGAGTTTATTTAAAGAATGACTTTTGGCTACTGTACAAACTAAATAACACAATGGTCATAAATATAATTTTGCTCTTTATTTTGGAATTACCTAAATACACGTGAAGTTGAATTCTTTTTTCTGTTTTGACATTTGAGTTTCTTTTTAAAGAATATTATGCCCCCAAGTCTTGATGATGTATGGGAAATTGCCAGCATGGAAATATAGCAGTCTTGTCTACTGTCTCCACCTCTGCCACTTGACAGCTGTCATCCTGGCACCTGGGAACCTCAATTAATTCTTCCATATCCTGGGGCAGCAATGCCTACCACTGATTTCATTGCCATCTGGGAATGTTGCTTCTAATGTGCTTGTAAATATGCACAATAAATAGCATAAATCTTCTTGGTTGACCTTGGCCAGTATCTCTAATCTCTCTGTGGCTCAGTTATCTCATTTGTAAAATGGTGATAATAGCAGAACCCATGTGTGAAGTTGATCTGAGGCTACAGTGAGTTGTTCCTCAGGAGAATTTCAGTCAGTGCCTGTTATACTGGAAGAATTCAGAACATATTATTTATTCCAATTTTTGCTGCATCTTTGAGACCTGGTATTAGGGCAGCTGACAGTGATTTCCAAGGACAGGTTGATGATACCATCTTGATATGCTACGGCTGCAAGACCTTTACAGAAAACACCTGACCCATGAACCTGGCAGATGGGGGCTCAGGAAAGGAACAGAATTCATCCAAAAGTCACCAGCACATCAGTGGTTGAGGCAGGACTGGAATGGAATTTTGCTTCTGTGGTCCCACAAAGATGTCACCCTGACCAGCTGCAGGCTGAAAATCAGTCACTGAAGCAATTCTCCTGTTGAAGGGCCCCCTCATTAGAACATGGTTCCCTGGAGGAGGCATATGGTCACCCTGCCACCCACAGAACAGAGAGCAGAGGCGAGAAATGTCATCTCCCTTGGCAGGTCAGAGCACGGGCAGCCTCCCTTCCTTGGCCCAGGATATTGCAAAGGCACCAGAAAGGGGAGGTGCCAGGTTCTCCCTCTACGTAGTCTGGGAGACTCTAGAGCATGGGTGTCCTACCTCAGGCTGCATGTGGCCCTAGACAGCTAATAATGTGGTCCCCAGCATGGTAAACTCTTACTTTTATTATGTGAGTTTAGCAACATATTTATGACTCTACTGTGGGAAGCTTCAGTGAAGACTGCACAAGCTACAATAGAAAACTGTGGGGGCGGGCAGAAGGGAATGTAGTACTGACTCTTTCATCTCCCTGCTACACTCAGTCAGTCCTATCAAAATAGATATATCAGACGTTGCCTGGGTTTTGTTGATTTGCTGAGTAAAACCCAACATTACTGATAATAGCATTTCAACCTACATATGTGTGTACTTGTGGAGACAGTTATTACAGCTGTTAAGCAGATGTTAAGCAGATGTAAGTTTTCCATGTAATTATTAAACTTAAGATTATTGAGTTATTTGGTGAAAAAATATAATAAATGAAATTCTTTTTCATAGTTGTGGCATAGGAAATACAAAATGTATCAAATAACTTTTTGCTCATGATATTGCTATAATTATGTGTATAGTATTGCACTATTAGAAAAATGTTTATTTATTTGTTCATTAATTTTTGAAATTCCCTTAGTCATTTCTCTTTGTGACCCACAGTACTCAATACCCATTATTTAAAGGAGCAGAGGTTAAATTTGCCCGTGGTTACAGCCCCTCGCTGCTGGTTCAAAGGCAGAAACAGCCTGGTGAAAATGCCTGGCAGAGGAAAGAGGCTCGTGTGATGGTGGCCTCAAAGCAGACAGAGTAGAGAGGCGCTGTGGAGGAGATGTGCCCTTCCAGGACTCACCTCTGGCGTACCATCCCTTCTGAACAGCCACACCTTGTAACAGAACATTTAGCTATGGGTTCATCTGTGGATTGATCCACAATGAGTACAGCTCCTGCAGGACCTAGCCACCTTTCAAAAGCCCCACCTCTGAACTCTTGAGAGTTCTGGGGCTATTCCAGATATAAACCATAACAAGACTATATAGAGATGCAATCAGCCACTCAGCTAACCTTGACCATGTCTCTTTACCAAACTTTTATAAGACCGGTCTTGATAGAGAAATACATTTCTAGCTTCACAATGGAGATTTATTCATGGCGTGCCTTTTTGACAGTCCGTACATTTGTGAGCAACCGTTTATAACAATGTGACACACAAGGAGGAAAATTAGATAAAAAAATTTCTAACAGGCACTTTGAGAACTTAGTAAGAATTCCAGCCACTTTCATTGAACCAGATATTGATGCAATACACAAAAGCAAATATTTCACTAGTTTTATGTCTTATTTGCTGTCTTATTTTAATGTTATAATAAAAACAAATAAAAGAAGCTTTATTATTTATTTACCTTAACTATATTATGTGTCATATATAGTACACATGCTATACATCATAGATGTTATATTATACATGTTATATATGTTGTATTATACATGTTATATATACTATAAATATGGCCCAGACAAGGTAAAGGTTGGACATCCGTGCATTAGAGAGTCCTTAGGTCCCAATGAGGGTTACCAGGCAAACTCAAACCTTTGCAATGATCAGTTCAGTGGCAGCAACTCCACCTACAGGCATTATCTTCCTGGTGCAAGTCCAGCCTCAGGTGACGTTTCCAGCTTATACCTGTTTGAAGCGCAGATGTTCTCTCTCTCCTTCCAGGTGCACTCAAGATGCAGCTGGGGGAAAAGTGCTGTCAGACCTATTTACCAATAGAAAGGAGAAAATTCCCCTTACATTTGCCGAAGATTGTCTGTACCTAAATATTTATACTCCTGCCGACTTGACAAAGAACAGCAGCCTACCTGTGAGTATCGGCACCACTGGTCGAGATTTCCTGCTGCACATGGGAAGGAGGGAGACGTTACATTAGGGGGAGGGATCCCAGGGTCATAACTGAGTTTGGGAACCAGAGCTTCATTTCACCACAGGGAATACACATAACCCTAACCCAGTTGCCCTAGTGACCCCAGGCCTTTGTAGGAGGATACTGTATTTCTGAAAAGCACATCTTAATTTTTCAATTTCTCTCACATTAGAAGGAGGTAAAAAATGATTACTCATAGTTAGCAGATTAAGAAGCTGATCCGAGAGCCTCAAAGACCTACTTTCTAACAAATTTAGAGTTGGAAGAATCATTTTAACCAACAAGGACAAAGACGGGGAAATTGATGTCACACATTAGTGTTGATGTGACAAAAGCTCAGATCTTCTGAATTTGAAATCAGTGTCTCTGACATGGACCTGTAAAGCAACCATGTGTGTAGCCTTTCACTGTCTAATGACAGAAATGTGTTGGATGATGACTGGGAAAATCTCATAGTGATTTTCCTTTGGTTTGAGCCCAACATTTGACATTTTCCTCCTCCCCAGTACTACAGGTTTAATCCCTTTTTATTTTTTATTTTGATACTGTGTCTTGCTAAGTTTCCCAGGTAGAACTTAAACTTAGAATCCTCCTGGCTTAGCCGCCTGAATAGTTGGGGTTTTGGCAATGCTAGTGATACAAACACATTTAAGAGTTCATTGTAGTTCCGTTTCCTCCCTTATTGTGACGGGTGTATGCTGATGATTCACTGAGTTAGTCTGCAAAATAACTGGTCATTGGTGGGTAGGAAGCTAGTTAAAGACTGGAAGGTGGAAAAAGGTGTGCTGGAAAAGAAGGGGCCCCAGAAGTAGAAAGGAAAGTGTTTCTCAGTCTAGTTTGTGTCCTATTCCCACCAAAGATGGAGCTCAGGAGTTGGGGAGTATGAATTTGTGACTGGAAGTTGTTCCTATGCATACAGTACAAGAAACAAGAAGGTTGGAACAAAATACCTGTATCTCTCATTCATTCACTCCTTTACATGTCTATGTACACTCAGTGCCCCCAAGCACATAGTTAGTCTTACGGTTAGGGATTGTAGGACCATGGAATGATCTTACATGATCACATTGCTCCTGCCTTTATGAATTTTGTTGCTGGCTGCACAGAGACCTCCTCACTTTTTCAGCATATCATTTCTCACCCATCCTGTGGCTCCGCCTTCAGTCACAGAGGTAAGGATCAAAAGTAGAAGAGAAACAGGAGCCTTAGGAATCTGAAAACAGGAAACCCCCAGCTACGGACATAGATTTAAAACTACAAGGTATGAGTTTAAATGTTGGATCTGCCTTTGACTAACAGAGAGCCTTGGATAATTTCTGTGGTTCGTTCATCCTCTGCTTCCTCAAATGGGATAATCACATATGAATATTCAGTGATGACTGTTAAGTTTTATCTCAGTCCTCACTGAGTACACAGAGCCAGCACTGATGACACACTAGGTAGAGCAGCAGGAGGATCTTCCTCCTCCATAAAGGCCAGCTTAATGTGCTGTGGCCAATGGCTGCAGTCAGTGGGCGGCTCAGCAGGTGAACTCTGGGGCCAGATTGCCTGGTCAAATCCTGCTGCTAATACTTACTTGTGAGATCTTAGGTAGAGGTGCCTTAGTTTTCCTTTCATATGGGACAATTATTAGTGCCTACCTTGTGGATAGTGTAGTTTATATTGTTTAGACTAGAATGTGGTGCATAATTTTCACAAATTTCCCCCTTTCATTTAACAGTATTATTATTTTGTTAAATGTCTGTATTTACTTGCAATGTGAGTTTTTTCAATGCAAGAAACAATAATCACATACTGCATCCATTCTCATCCTCAATTCTTTTTTAAAATTTTATTTTAAAGAGAAAAAAACAATAAAAATGATACATAATTTCAAAACAAGGTGACAGGAAATTAACAATGGTTATTATATTGCATATTGTTATCTTCAAAGTAGTTGCTCACATTAGCAGATATAGATATGTAAGTTTGATCAAACAATATAACCACTAACTATGCCATTCACTGAACTAATAGAAATTAGTAGTACAATTATCCTAGCTATCTTGTATGTGCATATATAAAATTTAAAAAACTTTTCCTTTGTTTGTTTCTCCTTTCTCCCATCCCTGTTCTTCTTTCTTTTTGAGCAGTTTCTTTCCCTTTCAAAATATCTATTGTACCTTTTGAATCTTCTTTACTCTTTCAGTGTCTTGCCCTAGGGAGAAGGGCAAGATACGATACTTGCCCTACGACACTTACACATGTGAGTCTGATTTATTTCACTGATGAGTATGGTCTCTAGTTGCATCCATTTACCTATAAAAGCCTCTAATTTATCTTTCTTTATATTGAGTAGTACTCCACTGAATAAAAATACCACATCGTTTTTGTCCATTCCTCAGTTGATGGGTATTTGGGTTGTTTCCAAGATTTAGCTATGACAAATTGTGCTGCTATAAACATAGGTGCACATATATTGCTGTGGCATGATGTTTTCATTTCTTCTGGAAAAATATCCAGAAGGGAAATAGCTGCATGTAGTAGGCTATTAGGTAATGTCAGTCAGGTGATTAGGCTTCCTGAAGGAGGAGTTGGTAGCTAGGCTTAGGCGGGTGGGTAGGATTGGGGCTGTAGAGGAGATGGGGGGAGGCACTTTTTGAAAGGAGCATCAGTGAGAATGTCATTGTGTTTGAGATAATACAGGGAAGTTTATTTCATCGCTGAAGCATTAACTGAGATGACTCTGAAATACAAAGGCCGCTGTATAGTTATGTTTTGGTGCTTGAATGATGTGGGCATGAAGATGATGGAAAGTTGGGACAAACTGGACATCTGAGCCTTTGCTGCTCCCATGATGATATTCTCATTTTGAAGAGCCCTTTGGGGACATTGTACACAGACCTGATCAATGCCAGGGGTACCCAATGGGAATAGAGTTGAAGCATATCCTAGAATATAGCCAGGGAATAGAGAAACAGATAAATTGCCTTTTGTAGCCTTTTGGGCACTGGTGATCTTTGGGTAATGGCCTCATTGAGTCAGGCATAGCAGTGAGGTCCTTCCCCATCCTGTTCCCTGTAATCAGTATGGCTGTGTTTTTTTTTTTTTGTGTGTGTGTGTGTGCAGGTGATGGTGTGGATCCATGGAGGTGGTCTGTCGATTGGTGGGGCATCAACCTACGATGGACTTGCCCTCTCTGCCCATGAGAAGGTGGTGGTGGTGACCATTCAGTATCGCCTGGGCTTCTGGGGGTTCTTCAGGTAAGGTCCTGGGCTCGCTTTCCTTCCACTGCATTATCCTGTTTTCTGTTGATATAAGAAAATATCTGAGGCTCCGCAGCTATAAAGAAATGACATTTATTTAAATCTCATGTTTGGAAAGCTTAAAGTGCAGGATCAAGTGCCTTCATGGGACTGGCCTCCAGTGAAGAGCCCTTATCTGTACATGGTAGAGAAATGGCAATAAAATTTATGACATGCAGAACACTTTCATTGGGCCAGAAAGAAAGCCAGACAACAAAGAGGGATGCGATAGTGCTTTTATTTATTTTATTTTTTAAAAGCTCACTCCGTAGGACATCTCATGTTCCTATTAGAACTACATTAATCCTTTCAAGGGTTGTGCCACTGAAGGATCATCTTATACTAGGCCTTGTATCATAACAGTATTTCCTACCACTTAATACTACCACAAAGAGGACCAAGGACCGCCATGAACTTGGAGGACAAAACACTTCTAAACCACCAACGCTATGACCCAGTTATTGCCATGTCATCCATCCCTCATGCGAACCTTTGTTAAGTTCCTGCATTCCATGTATCAAGGACATTCATTATTGGACTTACCCACCTTCTTATTCCTCAGCTACACTTGTCCACTGTCTCGTGACATTTGCATCTGTTCCTTTCTTTACCTGGAATGCCCAGTCCACTTGTCACACTCCTGTTCATCAGGAAAGCCCCTGCTTCTATGTCTGTGTCTCCCCTATCTCCACTAATTTCCTGCATGTGCCCAGCAGCACTTTCACATCTCCCCGTTTGTAGCTCTCACTTCCCCTTGGAGCCCCAGAGGCCATCTTTAGCTATCTTTTATTGTTTCGCTTAGATGTCTCCGTTGCACTTCCTTTTCCCGGGGACATACTCAGACCTTGACTGCTACTCCTCCTCCCTGATGAAGAACTTCATCTTTTCCCACGAGGCACCTGGTGCCACTACTGGAAGCTCCTTCCCTGTTGCTTGGGATAAAGGCCTTGTTGATATTCTGAACTTTTCTCTTATTCTCACACCACACATCCTGTTGGTCAGCAAGACTTCTTCATTCTACATTTGAAATATGTTCAGAATCCACCAACTTGTCACCCACTCCTTGATTATTCCTAAGCAAAGCTCAGTGTCAGGACTATATTACTGATAGAATCATTTATTCTTGTGAAGTTCTTACCCCCTCCCACTGCACCCTTGCTGCCTGCCTCTCTCATGTTGTACCCCACATTTCTTCTTTTGGTCCTGGGGCCTGTACATATTCTGTTTCTCCTAAGAACTGCCTTTTTTTTTGGAGTATTACAAGACCCATATACTCATTTTATTCAGGTTTATACCAAATGTCACTGCCTCAAGGATCATTCCTTGTTCATGACCTCTAACATATCAACCATGGCCCAAATGTGCCTCTTTTTTTTACATGATTTTTTTTTCACATGATTCTGTTTTCCCCATTGGCTGACAGTATATTTTCTTTTCACCTCTTCATGGCCTGCAGTGTGAGCTGAGTTTTGTCGGAGACATGGCTTCTTTTAATTACAGGTGCACTTTAGCTTTTAGGGCAGTGTTGGATTCATAGTGATAGACGCTGATGCTTAGTGCAGAAGCTGGAAGAAAGAACGCAGAACTTTCCTTCTCCATTGATCACTGCCATAATGAATGACAGGCAGATGAAGACCCTTTGATCAGGAATGGGAAAGTCAAACCTTACTGTGGAAGTCTCAGCAAGAAACCCCACCCATCTGGGATCCTGCAGGCCAGATCAGGGGGTCTCAGCCCACACTGACCCAGTTCTATTGCAGCACAGGGGATGAACATGGCCGAGGAAACTGGGGTTTCTTGGACCAAGTGGCTGCACTGCGCTGGGTCCAGGACAACATCGCCAGCTTTGGAGGGAACCCAGGCTCTGTGACCATCTTTGGCGAGTCAGCAGGAAGTTCAAGTGTCTCTGTTCTTGTAAGTATTCTTGTTGTCAGGCCTCTTCCTAGGCTTGATGTGACTGTTGATGTGAGCCTTTGGAGACCAGACAATCCAGCCCTGGTCTCTTTGCTTATAACACCCGGGTTCAGTGCTGATACTATTCAGTGCACAGCATCAGAGGGTGGAGTGTCAAGGCTCAATGCTCCTTGGCCTGAAGAAGTTTCAGAGCTCAGCTCAATATCCTGGAACCGTAAGAATCTTTAGGTACATCCTGCATTCCTGAGGAGGAGTTCCTAAGGCACCCCCTCCTCCTCCTCACACTTGGTTGTGTGCTTTTTCACTTTACTAATCATTTTAACACTAAGGCTCATGTTGCTTCTCTTGGAATGTAGGGGTGACGTAAAGCACAGATGCTAGGAAATAGTGAGGACATGAGTTGGATGAAGTGTCATTATTTGGCCCCAAGGCGGACTTGTTCTTTGGGGGAACTAGAGCGCTGAGAACAGATGGACGGTCCTCTGAGGTGGCCCACTGTTTAGTCCATGTCCAAGATGAAGGGCGGCAGGGAGCTAAATGAGAGGAACAATTCAGTAAAGATGAATGGGGAGGGAGGGATGGATCAGGTGATGTGGATCACAGACACAACCCATGGGTGTTATAGGTCTTGCTGTTTGGAAAAATTGATGGGGCACACTTAGAGAAACTGAAAAGTTCTAACCCCACTTACCTCAGAATTGAGCAAAGGGACATATCTACTGCTGTAACTTTTAAACATGTATTGGTTTTATAGTTGAATCCTCAGAAGAAAATATTCTTGTATTTCTTAAAGTACAGAAAAAAGGAAAAAGCAAAGTACAAAGGCATCCAAAGAATGAAAAATCATTCAGAATCTCACTACCCAAGATGGTCACTGCAGAGCAGATCTATCTATCTATCTATCTATCTATCTATCTATCTATCTATCTAACATCTATAATCTCTCCACACAGAGTTGGTCTCTCTGTTATACTTTTTAAAGATCTTTTTGTAAAGACAGAAGAATACCTTCCCTTATTATTGTAGAGTAATTAATATTTGCCTAAATGTTGAACTCTTTATCCTTTGCAATTGTATAATATTCCATGATAGTAATGAAAAACATGTTCATTTACCCAATCTCCTCATATTGGAATCTTCAGTTTTCTCCAATTTTTGATATTATAAAAAAGTAAGAACATGTGCATTATTAGATATATTTTGAATGTGCCTCCATAGGGATGTTTTTCTTGAACTTGATATTTCTTTTGTGGTTTTGAGAATCAATTCCAGGCCTTTGGGCATATCAAGTCAGCAGTGTAGCCTAAGAGATGGAGCTACAGACAAACTTTTCAGATGCATTGTCAATTTTTATGAAGATCAATTATGAATAATTAAAATTTGAGGCATAACTTATGGCTAGGAATGCCTAAAATCACTTTCTAACAGATTTGATTGTCACATTGAGCAAATAGCACATAATTCTTATTTTGTCTCTGGCTCTGGGCTGTGCCTCTATCCTGCTGAGGATCTAGGATGGGGGATAGGCTTGGATACAAATGGGACAGATGAGGACTTCTCATGTCCATCGAGCACCAGAGACTCCAAGTGAATGCCAGAGAAGTAGGGGGAAGGAGCCTTAAAAGCATATGAGTCACTGACCCGCTATCTGTGAGCATCAAATGCCTTCTCCATTCCTCTGCCAGGTGTTATCTCCACTGGCCAAGAACCTCTTCCACAGGGCTATTTCTGAGAGTGGCGTGGCCTTGTGTCTTCATGTAGTTAGGAACAATGTCAAGGCCATAGCTGAGGTAAGTCTCGTGCTGGACAGCTCTCCTACCCTTTCTTTGGCTCTATTAGAACGATATAGTGTTTTTGTTTGGGAGTCAGCTTGGATTCTCTAAAGACATTGAGGGGAGGGTGGCCAAGCAGGAAGGACTCCTTCGTCTCACACTTAAAGCGTATTCTGTACATTCTGAAGTGCTTCCATGTGAATCACCTTTTCTAGGCCTCATGCATTATACACTAGTTTTAGTGTGTGCGAGGCATAATGCGCTTATAACTTTGTCACATGTATTATAAGATAGCTGCAATCATTACACTCATGCATAGTGGGGACTCTGAGGCCCAGGGGCTGGTAAATTTAAGAATGTAGTATTCAGTTCAGACAACATAGTTCTGAACTCCATGTTTTTCACCACTGCCATCTTCACAGGGTCTCTTGAGACATTCACATTTGAGAAAACTGAGCCCACTTTAAAAGAGATAAGGCAATATACATATAGATATTATGTATGTGGCTCAGGTTACAATTCCAAATAATAACACAGACAACATGCTCTGGGATCCAGAACCCACTGTGGTCTATAGGATATTCAGGTGTCCTGTTTGATTGGGCTCAGGATAGAACTATTCTGTATATACAGATGGAGGATAAAGCTTCTCTTAAACTCTGCTGTTGGCTGTGATCTCTGCAGAAAATTGCAGCTGCTGCTGGGTGTGAAACAACCACATCTGCTGTCATCATTCATTGTCTGCGCCAGAAGACAGAGGATGAGCTCTTAGAGATCAGCCAGAAAATAGTAGGTGCACCCGTTGTAATTGTCCTACCCTGTGTATATGACTCCATACTATTGGTTCAGCTGTTCACTTATGTGGACAATCAATTGGTCAGCTTCTAGTTCAATATATCCTTCTGAACCAAACTGGGAATTTTATTTTTCTCTTTTTTTATTGTGAAGTGTGTTAAATATAAAAAAAATCTGATAATAATACAAGGAAAACTGGATTACAATACTCTCCTTCTTTAAAAACTTAATATTTTGACGTTGCATTCAGCTATAAAGTCAGAAATAAAACTCAGTGTTCTGTAGAATTAGAATGAAATAATAAAAATTATACAATGTATTTTGGAATACATTGTGTATTCCAAAAGTAACTACCATCCTGAATTTTAAGAATGGGGATATTAAGCATCTAGTTATTTAGAAAGTTGTCACAATTTATCTAAGGTGTCTACAATTTAGAAACTATCTAAATTGTAACGTAATAGTGGCCAATTATCTAGATATTCTAAGAATTTTCTCATTAGGATTCAAATATAGCCATATTTCTACCAATTCATTCATCTATCATTCACCTACCTGTCCTTCCATCTACCCTCCACCATCTATCTATCTATCTATCTATCTATCTATCTATTATCTATCTATCTATCTATCTATCTATCTATCTATCTATCTATCTATCTCAATCACTTATGTTCTTTCATCCACCTACTATCAATGTATTTTCAATTGGTCCATCGTCCATGAATCATTCAGTCAACATATGTGTACATTCCATCACACAGTTCTCCAGAAGCAATGACACAATTACCTCTGTGCTTATTTTTATTCTTTTATTCATGTGTGCATACAATTCACCAATATTCCATGCATTGACCATCACCATCCACATACTCTTCTGTCTATGAGGGATCATCTCTTTCTCATTCTGTTTGTCACTCTCTCTCTCCCTGCATGATAGTTAAATGGAGGGTGATGTCAGAAGAGACATCAGGTGTTGCACACCTGAAATGAACAGTATACCTGTTGTAAAGGCAAAATCCAAGAAAAAAATACAGGTATATTAGTGGGCCACGTGTGCAGAAGTACAGAGAGAGGATGCATTCATAATGGCCAGCAGAAGTGCTCCTCAGGGAAAGTGACTGAGAAGATTGATGGTTGCTTATGCCAGTCTGTCATCACAGAGAAGTTCAATAAGAAAAACTTCTTGAGAAAAGAGTAGCCAGAACTCATCCTTTGATTGTGAGCTCAGTGGCCACTTGAGGACCTGGCTTCTCTCTCTGGGTCCTGGACCCTGGAGGATTCTCCTGGACACTCAAGGCAGGTCTCTAGCAGTTTGTTCTGCCTGAATGTCCATATATTAGGTCCAATGTTGTTTTGAGCCTTGGGTTCTGATTCATCTGCCTCAAATAAAGTAACCAAAGTTTTTAAAAGATTAACACCCAGATGTTTACTGACACCTGGAAAAAGAACAATGTTTAAGCTTTTCTCCATGTGTTGCAAAACGTCCTCACTTATACAGGAATTGTTGGTAATCTTGAGAAACTCAGAGAACTTAGGATCCCAGACCATCCTTCTGAGATGTTTAAAATTCTTGTTAAAATGCTTCCATAGTTATCTGCTTTCTCAAAGACACACACACATACACACACACACACACACACACACACACACACACAGGTACACATGCGTTCATACTGAATATGTATTATAATGACATATGCATTTTAATTTGAGCGAGGACCACCTGTTCTTCACTGCCACCATCACCTTATCACAAGATGCTACTCAAAATTCTGTCCTTGGTATTTCCATATTTAGTCCCATCATTTGGACTCTAAGCATCTGTGGTCACTGCCAATCACCAGGGGAGTCTGTGGCCCCACCCTTGCCCTCAGTCATCCAGAGCAGAGACATGAGTGCCAATTGGGAGGCAAACCAAAGACAACACATTGCCTTCTACTTCTCTAGCCCTATTTGCCTATGACCACTGTGATTGATGGAGTGCTCCTGCCCAAGGCACCAGAAGACATGCTGGCTGAAAAGAATTTCAGCACCGTCCCCTACATTTTGGGAATCAACAAGCAAGAATTTGGCTGGCTCATTCCAATGGTGAGAATGTACTGGCATTCAGACAGGTGCACTTCTGTGCCCCAAATTTCAGCACTACCCCATTTATTGTGGAAATCAACAAAAAAGAGTTTGGCTGGTTGATTCCAATGATGAGAATATATGGACCCTTAAGACAGATGCATCCTTCCCTATCATCATCCCTCCAGCCTCTGTTCATATGGTTCCTCCCTCTCCAAACCCCATCTGAGCCCAGGGCAGGTATATTATTGGCATGAGTGGACACTTCCCTAGAAATCTTCTCCAGGATAGTCCAGCTGTCCCTAGAGTGGTACACACCAGGGAACCATTTGTCCAGACATTGATTGACTTCCCATTAAAGAATACTGAAGCATCCTGGCTGTTGTATATGTAGAGAATGATAGTACAGATGGAAGGGCCTCTAAAGAGAAAGAATTAGAAGTCCATGAAAATCAGGCTAAGGCACAACGTCCTCTACTTTGTGACAGGGCTCTTGGTTCCTATTGACCTCCACACACACCATCCAGACCCTCATTGGGAAGATTTAGAGAAGGTCTCTTCTGCTTGAGTTAAAATTGGCTTCAAATAGCGATGGAAGGATTTTTGTTCAAAAAAAATAGTAGGTTAAACAGAGATACTCAGTTAAAGCATTAGGGCAGTTATTCAGAAATGGGATGACAATAGGGAAAAGATAAAGCATAACAAGAGCTCACATTCCCAACACCAAAGGTTGCCAGTGTTTCCAGGCTGGGTGAGCACAGGGATGTACTGTGTATGTAAAGAGTGAGTCCACGTGGCCAGACCAAGGGATTTGTTCAATCATCTCCTTGAGAAGCAGACCTGTATCTCCTGAAGCGGAGGTGTAAGTTGAAGTGACGCTTCTGTTGAATTCAGGCCTTGGTTGATCCATAGATATTGTGCAGGAGATGGTCAAGAGGTACCTCAAATGTTTACATTTCCAAGGGGTTTCAAAACATTTGCAAAAAAATTACTCTAGGTCTTTGAGGAACCAATTTTGGGTGTGAGATTCTCATCTCAAAGGGCAGAGAAAGGATTGATAATTGCAAGTTTATAAGGTACGTGCTCCAAGAGAGAGTTCATAGTTCTGTCTGTGTGCATCAAGGTTAAGCTCGAGATAATAGATATTTCACACATGAAATCAGTGAGTGTTCTTAGGCAGGCATTTCAGGGGTCTGGAGTTACTGTAGCACATGGTCTCTAGTTACTAGAAGCCAGGCAAAAGTTGGGTCAAGTGTGTTAATGCAGAAGTTTGGACAGGGCATCATATGCTGAAAGTTCTACAGTTCTCACTTCAAAAGGATTTCAGAGGTTTTCAAAGAATCGAAGCCACAGTGGTTGATTTTGACTTAGTCATCAGAGGCTGTGGAGTATGGCCTGTTCCCATTGTTGCTGAGCCCTCTGCTTCAACACTGCCCTGGCCTAAATGTTTTCTCATTGCCTGGATAACCACTGCCATGAGCCATATATATATATATATATATATATATATATATATATATATATATATACACATATATATATATATTTCACCCTGTTTGGCTCCTTGCTCTTCTATTTCAGAGTCCATTTATTTCTTTGTTTTTTTTTTTTCTTCTTCAAATTGATGAAAGTACTCTCAATGGCCCCAAATGAAACTTCATTTAGCATTTGTTTAATTGTTATTCTGTTTGGTTTGTACTTTAAATTTTTGAGAATTCACAAATGCTTAACCAATATTTTAAACAGATTATGGACAATTCCTCCTCTGAAGACATTTTGGACCAGAAGACAGGCATGTCCTTCCCAGGGAAGTTCAAACACTTTCTTGAGAGAGGCTGGAAAGTTATGGTAATGGATTAAAAAACAAGAGGAAAAGATTTGTCTCAAATTACAAACTAATTCAATGGCAGAAAAAAAGATTGGGATTGGCAGTTCTGACCTAGTTTTTCTTTTTCTCATCTCAATATCCCCGGGAGGGTTTTTCCTGGGGCAAAAGAAGTTCATGGTCAACAAAGCCTCTTAACGGGCTAGAGAAACCACATTACTCACAAAGCAGGGGTGGTCATTCTCTTGATGCATTTTAGAACTTCTCTGGGGATGTGATGCCGGTGGTCTTTGAGAAGTACATAGGAGGGACAAACGACTCTGCCGAAAAGCATGAACGCTTCATGGACTTGATTGCAGATGTGGTATTTGGGGTCCCATCTGTGATTACTGCCCGTGGACACAGAGGTGAGTCCCAAGTGTTGGGCAGGAGCAGAACACCATCTTAAAATAAGTCTCATGTGTGGTGGGAAATGTAAAATTCTTCATCAGTGTGATTTGGAGCCTTATCTCTCCTTTTGTAGACTGATCTCTCTGTGGCAGTAGGACCCATGCAAAGCCCTGAGTTCCCTGGGCTGGGTCCACAAGTTAGTCTTAAAGAAGCAGGACTTGGTGGTTCTGATGATCTTGTCAGCAAGAAAAGCAGCATCTTGTTGGTCTTTTGACAAGTTGCCCTTAGTGATGATAGCATAGCAGACAGGAAAAGGGAGGTAGGAAAGAGATATCCTTCCTTGCCCCTTCACTTTGTTACCTCACTGTGTTACCTTATTGTCTTAAGACTCCCTGAAATAAGCAAGAAGTGCTATATGTGAAGTGACAAAAATATTAAACTCTAAGACTTTTGTTTCCTAAAATGCAGGAGACAGAGTGTATCCTCTCTACATATGCTTGTATTTCAATATGCTTCTTTTTAATAAGCAGCTAGCATTTTCCTCAAGTTCTCTGAAAGGCTGAGAAAAGAATGGGAGAAGTTCACAACTACATTGAGTCAAAGACACCTACTAGGTTGAAGATATTCTTCACAGCATGACCACTAGCGTGCTGCCAATGATATACATCTAGTGTATTCATGCATCTAGTGCATCGTGCTCCTCCATTCTGTCATTCAATAAATGTTTGGTCTAAACCTAATTCCATTTCAACAAGCTATGTGGTCCTAACCTAGGCAAGGAGCTTCCCTAAAACTCTGTTTCTGTTCCCTGATGATAACTAGGGGCTTTTTGAACAGATGAAGACTTTGCTATGGTCCTGGGTGCATCTGGTTACATGATTTGTGCATGGCCCATGTCTTCACAGATGCTGGAGCCCCCACCTACATGTATGAGTTCCAGTATCGCCCAAGCTTCTCATCAGCCATGAAACCTAGTAATGTGGTAGGAGACCACGGGGATGAGATTTTCTCAGTATTTGGTGCTCCATTTTTGAAAGGTAATAGCTCTTTGCTGGCTATGAACTTGAAGTGAGGAGGCAGGGAAACCAGTCTGAGTTTGCTGGCCTTGAGTACATTTTATCTTCTCTCCCAGTCTTGGTTTAGTTTTGCTGTCACATGGCTTAGCTATATAGGGCAGTTCTCAACTTTTCCCCTGTTCTAACTTCATGAAGGTTAAGGTGTATTCATGTGTCCCCAGTCATGGACTGTCTCAGAATACTGACCTGCGACATCAGTAAGAGAGGTGGTTGGTCACCTGCAGTGCCTGGCTCAGGGACAAGAATGCCTGTGCTTGATGTCCTACTCACCAGAGTCTAGCAGAATGTGAATAAAGGGCACATCTGAATTCTCGGTATCCTCAAATTGAATGTTACCTGTATCACTTCACCTGTCATTTGATCTGTGTATGTAAAACTTATATAGTTTTTCATAATTTACTTAGACATAATATTTAAAGGAAACCATTCAGAAATACTTCAGTGTCTTCCCTGTCCAACTGTTGCCTGTGACTTGTGACCCACCTTATGGCTGCTCATGGCCCCTGAGTGCGTCTGGACATCTCCCAGTTGGGCGACTCCTTAACACCTTTGCAGGTCTGATAATTTTCAGACTGTATGAGTATGCAGGTGTGTTTAGAGGTTGAGAAAAAAATCCCCCAAAGCCAGCAATCCTGCAGTGCAGAGGAAATTCTTGGTGTGGCATTGTGACAGTGTGAGGGTAGGTGGCGGCAGGTGGACATAGAAGATAAAAATTAAGTACCTCACACATAGATTGGATGCCTATTGCTGAGTCCTAGATCAGTCATTCTCAAGTGAAAGAATACCTTAATTAACTGGAATTTCCTTAAAATACAGGTTTTCACTCAGTAGGCATAGACTAAGGGCTAAAACTGGCCGTGCAAAGGTGCTGCTGCTGTTGCAGGTCCACGAACCATATTTTAAGTCACCAAGTTTTTCATTCTTCTTTATAGAAGGTGCCTCAGAAGAAGAGACCAATCTCAGCAAGATGGTGATGAAATTCTGGGCCAACTTTGCTTGGAATGGGTAAGGCGGTTGGTAAATATGGAGCAGGGTTGAAAGACAAGCTGGGAAAGGACATTGCATACCTGTTGGGAAGGAGCGGCTTTGATAGCTTGAGTGATCAAAGCCCTGGCCTTGTGACAGTAGTACTTTGATAATGAGATCTCTCTACAAAGCCAGAAGTGCCCCAGAGAGGGAGAGCTCCATGTCTGTAGAGATGACTGAGCCCCTTGACAGAGATTAGCCAGTGGACCCCTATAAATCTCTGAGAAATGTGGGTACTATCCAGCAACCTTTAGGAATTTCTATTTGATTTTTTTTCCAGGAACCCCAATGGGGAAGGGCTTCCATACTGGCCAAAATATGACCAGGAAGAAAGGTATCTGAAGATTGGTGCCACTACCAAGGATGCCCAGGGGCTGAAAGCCAAGGAAGTGGTTTTCTGGACTGAGCTTTGGGCTCAGGAGGCAGCAAAGAAGGTGTCTTAGAGAGCACAGACCAATAGTGAATGAGACTACCAGCTGGCCTCAGGAGGCTGGAGCAGCCAACACAGACGTATTCTACAACAGGGGTTTTTCTGCCACAGAGGCACCTTTTTGTGGAGGATGGAGAATTGTGTGCTGGGGGTGTGCAAGGGTCAAGGAGGGGGATGGTGTACTTCTGGTGTCAGAATAAATATTTGTTTGGAGACCGCGTCTGTCTGTTTCTTGAGTTGGAGATGGAGACAAATCTATTTTCCTCAGAGAAAGGATGAAGACAGAGGCAATATCAGAGCACAATGTCCCTGCAGGTATGGTTTGGTGATTAATTATCCTGATCTGAGGGAAAATAAGCTCACTGGAGGAGAGGTGAGTATGAACCTTGGCTCAGCTTGCTCTTACAAGTGGATGATGGTGTTTTTTGAACAAGGATAAGGGTGTAAAATCCCTGGGGACAAGAGCCATGAGGGGGAGTTTATACCCATGACAGATACCTCTTTTTTTTTTTTTTCCCCCCCTCCGGTACCGGGAACCGAACTCACACCTTGCGCTTGCCAGGCAGGCGCTTTGCCGCTGAGCTAAATCCCCAGCGCCTGACAGATTCCTCTTTATGGAAATCTTTCAGGTGTTCGTGAGAAAGTGTGGGATCAAGTGGTAAGACTGGAGAATGCCTGTCTCCAACAGTGCAGGCACAGAGCCCTCCTCAGACCTTTTCCCATGAAAGATCAAAATCCTACAAAGTTTGAGGGGAAGAACAGCAAAACACCTCTCTCTCAGGGTCCTGGTGAAGACTTGTTGGGGTTGAAGAAAAGCAAAAATTTATATTCTTTACCCCTTTGAATGATAAAAGAAATTGTTCTGGGTCAAAGTTATTGGAAATCTTTTACTCTGGGTGAAAGACAGGATCACTGAGAAAGCCCTATACCCATGCATCAGGAACACAGAGTCCCTTTAAATTGAGGCTACCCTAGGCACACAGGCAAACATAGGGAAATGCCCCACCATTTCTCTCCCAGATATGTTTGTTTGCTGAACTAGAAGAGAGTGTCTGACTTGATCTTCTGTATTCAGGCTAACTTGTCATCTATCCTCAAGCAGGCAGTATAGCAGGTAAGCCCGGGCCAGGCATTTGTACAAGAGCCTTGAATGTACACTCAACATCAGTAGGCATAATATGTCTTATCCTTTCACCACACCTCCAGTATCCATAAGAAAGAGTAATAAACTGGTCCTGAATCAGGGACCCAGAGAGTTTCTGCTCACTATGAAGGCAAGGAACACATACACTCTGGGCAAAGGTTTAGGAAAACCCTAGTGGTTATCAATTTGAGTGCTTCCCTTTGAGTTATAAGATATTTCTTACCGTGGTACAGTTCATAATGTCTATAGTTCCAGTGGTTTAGGAGGTTTAAGCTGGAGTATCATTTCATCTCAGGAGTTTGAAACAAGCCTGGATAACAAATTAAGAATCAATCTGAGAAACATGCTTCCCTTCAAGTGTGTTTTCCTGTGAAGTGATAAGTGGGGAAGATTATGAAGAGCCACTGAAGACATCACAGGGACCTCTTGAGATGCACACATCTTTACTATCCTGTCCTTGAGACACACATGTGTCCCCCTTCAGAAAGATTCCCATCTAAACTGCTCAATACTGGAGAAAGAGTGGTGTCATATAGCTGATCAGAAAACCTAAAGACAAACAAAATTCTCTACAGACTAGACAGCTAGAGGAAGAACATTCCAGGAACTTGAGTTGGTAGGAGGAATAACTTTGATTCTAATCTTTGTACCCAGAGCCTGAGGTGGTCCTGTTTTAAATTATTTTAGGTTCTCTTGTTCTCTGTGGGATTGGGACATAGCTGTTCTGGTCTATTGCTGCTGCTGTTTTTAAGAAAACCATGGGTCATTACAGTGACCGTCTCTTCCTAGTGGACCTGCAGAAGTAACAGGCCAAGTCTGAATTTGAACTGATAAATCAGTAGAAGGGCTTCATCCAGGATGGTACATGTGATAAGGATGTCCTGGAATCAGAATTTATTAAGCAGAAGTGACTAATCAGCCATTTTTCTTTCAAGCAACAGTGCCACTCACAGCTTCACCTCCACCTGGTCACTACCATGTCTACACCAACAATGTGGAGAGCCCATATGTCTGGCACAGGAAGACATAGGGCCAGGTTGGCAGCTACTGTGCCTCTGGTGATGTTTCTATCATCACCCCAGAAAAGGCTGAAGAGCAGAAGCTACCATCCAGGTGGATCTGTGTGGATGCTTTCATGACCAACCTGGCAAAGGATGAAACAGAGAAGCCATCAAAATGGTTCCCAAGAAATACAGGTCTATGGCAGTGTCTGAAAGAGACTTAGGTTGCCCTAGCCCCCAAATTTGCCACTTGAACAATGTGAACAGAACCCCTCAATAGGTTGCTGGCTGAGCCACTTCGTTGGTAGGATGAACATAGAACAGTCTAAGACAGCTAATGCCTGTTCTGCACTGACCTCCCATGTCTATCACTGGAGTTAGAACCTGATCCCTCTGCCTGTGCCTTTCTCAGCCAGGATCTCCCTTCCATGGCACCTGCCTAGGAAAGGAAACTCAGAAACTGGAGTTTGAAAAGGGGCTGATTTGAACTTCCCAAGGTTGTAGCTGGCATGGACGAAGCCCTGATCTGATGAACACTTTGTAGTTTTTTTCTTGGCAGAAGAAACCACTGTCTGTACTACTCAAGCTGAGGAGGAGCTAAATGCACAGTGGGCTTGCTGCAGCTTGATCTACCAGATGGGCTCCTGCCCTGCTTATATCTTCCTGAAGCTGGAAGATAAAAGCAGGGGTTACCTAGAGAGATTCCTGCCTGGGGCCTTGGGCCTGCAATTTTTTCCTTTTTAATCTTTATACTTTCTGGTCATGTTCATAAAGAGCCTTGGGTAAAGGCATAAAGGAGTACCTCCTCCCAGGGCTCCTGTTCCTTTTCTTCCCTTGATGGTCCTGTGGGTTCTGGATCTTTTGCTCAGTTCTGAAGTCCAGCTCTCTTCTCTCCTAGATTTAGCCTGAGCTGCAAGTTTCCACTACCATCCAGTTTCCTCCCAGCAGAGGTGAGGAAGGAGGAGAATTGAACTCAGGCCTTGCACCTGGAGCCTAACCTGCCTGGGGCTGTCTCAGGTGACTCAGCCTCAGATGAACCTCCCTTCCCACAGCTGGGATTGTGCCCATTTAGTCAGAGTCCTGGAGTTATGCTAAAGTATCTGTTAAGAGTAAGCCTCATTCATTCCCTCGGGAAAAAAGGACATGAAAAGGAAATTCTACCTTGCCACTGGCTTGTTTCAAAATACAAACACAAGATTTATTGAAGTGCTCCATGTACACTCTGGATGGGTTGGAGCTCAATTCTGGACTGAAGAAATGGGTAGGAAGGGGAGCAACCAGCAATGGTATAGTGCAAACATGGCCACAAAGGAGCAAGTTGGCAAGAGGCCAGTCCAACTGGAAAGAAGGATAATGTTCATAAGGGTGTTTTGGCTCACTTTGGGGGCCTAGGGTGACAAATTTATATCTTGGCCTGCAGGAAAAACTTCTTTTTATACAGAAGAATCATATCAGCCCAGTTTCTGTTGCTATAGCAAAATAGCCAAGACTAGGTACTTTATAATAAAAGAAGTTTTAAGTCACATTTCTATAGGTTTAAGAACACGGAGTTACCATGTTCTTGGTTTTGATGAGGATGTCATTGCAATGGTAGGGTTACGTGCATTAAAAACACATGATGCAACAGGAAACCAGATCTCAGAAGGGCTGAATTAATTAATTAATTAATTAATTTTTAATAACAATTCACTCTTACAGGAACCTGCACAGTCTTGTGAGAATGACATTCTGGTATCCTAAGAATGATACTCACAATGACCTCCCACCAGGCCCATCTCTTCAAGGTTTCACTGACTCCTCAAAAAAGTCACACTGGGATCAAATCTTTAGCACATCAACCTATGGGGAGCACATTCAAACCACATCTGAACCAAACTTTAGCAGGAAAATGTAATACAAGATTATATATATATATAATCTTTTATGATTTTTTTTATATATATATCCCTCATATATTTATACTTGAAGCTTTATTTACCTTCTGAACTTCTCATGTATTGAAAGAAATTTATTTGACAAGGTTTCAAAAACTGATCCACTGGTAAGAAACAGAATATTATCAGAATCCAAGAAACTGTCTTAACTCAATTCCAGGCCCTGCTCATTACCCCTCCTTGCTCATCCACCCACCACAATAACCACTGTGCTAATTCTAGCAGCATGTATTAATTAGATATCGAAGGTTTTAGTTTGCTCATTATCAGTTCTACAGTGGCACTCATGATGTGAATGTGCTATCATATATCCACCTACTGTGGCTGGACATTTGGATATCATATTAATTTATTCTTGACATTATAGTTTGGGTCTGGAATGTGCCCCCTGCATCTCTTGTGTGGAAGGCTTTGTCTCCAGTACAACAGTTCATGGGTAGGTCCTTTGGGAGATAACTAGATCATGAGAGCTTTGACCTCATCAATAGATTAATTAATTGATGAATTCAGAGCTTGATGAGTTACTGGGTGGTGGTGGGAACTTCTGGAGGCAGACCCTAGTTGCAGGAAGTACGTCATGAGAAACATGTCATCGAAGAGAATATTCTGTCCCTGGCACCTTTGCTACCCAGGCGCTGTAAGCTGCACACACTTCTGGTCATGACATTCTGTCTCATTTAGGCCCAGACTCATCGAAGCCAAGTGACCATGGACAGAAATCTCTGAAATTATGAGCCAAAAATGAGCATTTCTTCTTAAGTTAACTTCCTCAGTTATTTTGTCATAGAGATTAAAAGCTGACTAACAGGCTGCCATAGAAAAATATCCTAGACTGCCTGGTGAGAACAAGAGAAATACATATTATCATAGTTCTGTGATCTAGTGGTTCCAGATGAAAGTGCTGGAGGATTTAATTCCTAGTGAGGCCTCTCTTCCTTAAGTGTAGACAGCTGCCATCTCACTGTGTTCTCATATGAACTTTTTCCCAGGGAGCCAGAGACATGAATGGACACTCTGATGTCCCTTCCTCAATAAGAACAATTCCACTATATTAGGACCCGTTCTAATGAACAACATAGACTTAGCCCCATAAGTGCTCTGTGTCCAAACACAGTCACTTTGGAGGTCAAGTCTTCA